CCCCCGGGCCGTCTCCCCCACCTCTCACATAAGGGATCATCCCAGAGCTATGACAAATCTTCGGCTTTGTACTGCGACCCTGCGGGGTCAATTATGTTAGCTGGGAAAACACGGCGAGGAGGAGCGCCTCGGGTTCACCAGACTGTAGCGCTGGCATGTTGATCGATGATGGGATGCTTATCTGCCACACTGTGTTACAGACACCTAATTGCAATTGATCCCCGTTTGCTGTACCATTAATTGTAAATCCTGCCTCAATCACAAACCCCGCTGTCTCCAACGCGGGACTGGGAAAGTAAAACTTCATTTATCAGCGTACTCATCATCGGTTTTCAATATCAACCCACTGAGGCAGAGACGGAGTTAAAAGACACGCCGTCATGCTCCGAAGGAGTGTACGGCGCCTCACCCTGGTGTGTGTGTGTGTGTGATGTCTGGATGGTGTAAAGGTCAAGGTTGATGTAGCTCACGGCTGAGTGCTCTTATCAAGATGTCAGCTCGCTGACTCCTGCTGTCAAAGTCCCAATAAGCAAAGCAAATCCAACTTTGTAAAGTTATTGACGTTTGGATTCTTCCTTTGATCATCACAGACGATTCGTCTGCTCATTTACAGGTCGATACAGACGCTCAGGAACCCGATGTCAGACACGAACAATGATATTATTGTGATTTCAGATAAATGACGAACTGTTGCCGGCAAAAAAAAAAAAGGGTCACAGGTCTGATGCCAGGCTTGTACTATCAGGTGGGTCCATGTCTGTCTGTAGCATCAGTACTCCTAGTACTACTGTAAGTACTACAACAAATAGGCATTGTGTTTAACCTCAGATTACCTCAGATGCACCTGGTAATGAATTGGAATCACAGTTCCCTGAACAGATTTCTACAAAATGTACGACTAAAAAAAATAGTAGAAATAATTTCAAAAAATATAAACATGTAAATGCATTCCAATTCAAGATCATTTAAAATGTAGGTTAATGACAGTAAAATAAACTAAGAGAGACTTGAGTAGCTTTTAATGCAAAATGAAGTCTGAAATAGTTAATATTGTCCAAAAGAATTTCATAACCTGTGATTGGCTAAAAATAGAAGATATTTAGAAAAGTTTATCTGGACTCTAATGAATGAGACGTGGTGTGTATCGCCTCCCCCATCTTTAGCCTCCTACACTGATGTACTGTTCTATGCTGTACTCCTGTTACATCAGGACCGTGGACATGATGAAGCACTGACGTCAACAGTACAGCCCACAGCACTGATGTGATCCAGTTTATCAGAGCCTGTCAGTCAACGGACTAATCTCAGCCATTAGGTCCATTAAGATCACATTTATCTTAATGAATGCAAAAACCACGGTCGGACAAATAGCTTACATTTTGAATAAATGATTAATCATATGAGGTTTTTCTTTTTTTTTTTTTTTTTTCGCTTTCACAGACAGATTACACGGCACAGTATGCTAAACTTTTCCAGGAAAGTGCGTCTTGTGCTGCTGAAACTGCAAATGAAAAACCTCTGCTAACAGCTTTGTTAGAATAAATGTAATACCACAGGAGGCTTCAGGGTTTAGCATGCAGTCATGTGGCTAACGGCAACCAAGCGGCAATCCTTCGCTTCTGGCATTATCATATCATCTACATGAGACTACAGAGCGGATTCTCGGGCGCAGAAAGAGCCTCGGCCGCCGGCTGGATGAATTCCTCCAGGTGGTGTGAGAAGAAATTGGTTTTTAAATAAGGTGGACTGCAGATAAAGATGTCAGCAGCAATAACGCTTTTCATTTTGACTGTGCTCTTATTTGTTCAGAGTGGAGGGAGGACTCACAGAGACTGAGGCTCAGTTGACACCAGGACTTTCTCTCACTGCTGCGAGGTTTATCTATGGCACGGTCCGTCATCGTCCCGGCCCTGCCCCGCTCTGCCCTGCTCTGCCCTGACGAGGCCAAACTAATATAGAGGAACTGCAGAGGTGGTGCTGTCCATCCAGAAGCACTCAATTCCCAGTTCAAACCCACACACACACACACAGACGCAGGCGTCGGGCGGCCCTGAACACATCACAGTAACACTCGGAGAGAGTGTTCCGAGGCGGTTGCACAGAGTTCAGCTCAGGTGCACTGCTCACTTTCACATCCCAGTGGCAAACAGAGACGATGAGGCCATTTGGTACAATGGTCTGCGGGCGTTTGGGTCGCTCTCCTGTAAACAAACCGCAGCCATGTCTGTCTCTTCCTGTTAGTGTCAAGAGTGTCTTTCCACACAGTGAGCATCCTTGAAATAAATGGAGACTAAACTGGAGGCAGCACTGGCTGGAACCCAGACCTGATGTTGAGCAGCACTCTGTTATTATTTATTATTATTTATTCTTTTTACAGAAGAGTTAATGTTGGTCAAATTAATGTTTGAGCCTAAATTTGCCTCAGGAAACGTTTTGTTTTTTTATATTAAAATTAAACTTTTGACCCAAATTTGACATAATGACCTCAGAAACATTTACTTTCAAAGAATAATCATTGTTCCAAATAGAATAATAGATACATCTCTGTGGATAAAAAAAAAAAAAAATCAGTGTTTTTTGCACACAATACCAAGGTTAAAAAAACACTGTCTCACTGAAATAGGGAAAACTATAAGAATGTATACTGTACACAGTCAATACTACATCAGGGATGATTTAATAATATTATCACAAACCAAGTACTTTGGCAACGGTGTGGAGAAAGAAAAAAAAACACAGACAGAAATGTCCAGAAAATCCAGACGGAGTGTAAAGCCGTCTACCTCGGCAAATATCCTCCATAAATGTCAGCCAGTGATCAATTACTAATACGATTCCTAAGCCATAGGGTAAGATTAATATGTTAATGCAGCTGCAGCGGCGAAGCTGCTTCATTTTATGGACTCCATGGTGACTGTGAGCCATCCAGTTCACTGGAGTCACACGAGTCGGTGACTGACTCAGTTCCCTGAGTGTGTGTCTGGTCAGACTAGAACTGAATCAACCGGATTCTCTCTGAGACTGCAGTCTTTCTGGAGTCTCCACCGTCCATCCAGGAGTTTGCTGAGTCATTTTGTGTGAGTCCTGACTCATTACAAAGGTTCTGATCACTGACCACGGTTGAGAAGTTTCTGGGTGGATTTTTTTTTTTTTTTCTCTCAGCAGAATTAAACTACGGACCTTGTTTTCAACAGAGCAGCTGCTGGATAATTTATTGAATTATTATAAAAGTCAGAGTCTGACCATGAACACATTGTCAGTTTTAACAAATGTCACAGGGTTAAATAAATGAAACATTATTCTGTAGACATCAACTTCATTCATACAATAGTTTTAGAACTGATGCGGTTCATAATAAGGAACCGATGATAAATGTGTCTCCAACTCTGCAAGAATAAAATCATACGCCAGGAAACAAAAAAATCACCTGCAGGGTGCGCTCTTTTATTCCCTTTTAATTCATATGGTTGTGAAATGAGCTCCTTTCAAGGGCAGACACTCAACTTTACCAGCAAAACACACAACAACTCGGAAAACCAAACACATGACTCGGAGCGTAAACAGCATTTACTGCGAAACAAGTCAATTCCGTTAAATATTTAATCGTCTTTTTCATACTGCGCTTAAATTTCTTTTCAGGGTATTTAACAGTACCTGTATTTCTACTACAATACTTTCACAGAAGTTCTCGAAAGTCTGCTGTGAGTTAAACTTCCTGCCATTGTTGTTCAACAATAGAAAAAGAAAAATATCCAACTATTTATATATATGCAACCTGGTCAGGTTTGTGGAGATAATCGACCAATCACAGCAGCCATTCACGCTCACATTCACACCTGCAGACAGTTAAGAGTGAACAATTTTCTCGTCCTGAATTCTTTTTGTTGTGAATCATGTGACCACGTTTAAAGGCAACTATAGGGTTAGTTTTATCATGAGGTTCATTTGATCCTGAATTGAACTTAAATTTTCAGACAACAAAAACGACCAAAGTCGACACGTTTGTGCGCTAACT